ATATATATATATATATATATATATATCGAGAGAGATAATATTAGTGATTAATATATATATATATTTTTCGAAAAACCCTCGAATTTTTGATTTGCATGACGATTCGTTTAGGTGAAACCTGGGTAGGTTTGTCTGACTCACTAGGTTTATCTCTATCTATCTATCTATCTATCTATCTATCTATATATATATATATATATATATATATATATATATATATATATATATATCATGAAATAAATTATTTTGCATGTCACCACAAATGTATTCACCCATTTCCTGTGTCGGTTTTTAATTTAATTTAGGTCAGCGATTCAGTAATGAGTTATGCATCAGAAAATAATTTATATTTATCTGTATCTCACTCTATCGACTGCATTTTGACGGAAACGAAAACAAGTACGAATTATGGGAAATCAAATTCTTAGGCTACCTTAGAATACAAAAACTTCATGACATCATTCTTTGCCAAGATGACCAGAAAGAAGATGATGATTTTATGGAAAGAAATGCTTCCGTGTTCGCCGGATTAATACAATGGCTGGATGACAGGAGTTTGTCTTTGATAATGAGAGAAGCCAAGGTTAATGGACGACGAGCTCTACGAATTTTGCAAGAACATTACTTGTCAAAAGGTAAACCCAAAATTAATCCTTTATAAACTGAACTAACCCCGTTAAGGAGACGAGAAAATGAATCTGTAAGATTATATTATACGAGCTGAGAATGTCACAAATGCCTTAAAAATGGCAGGTAAGAATATCTCAGATGGGCTGCTAATAGCCATATTTTTAAAGGGATTACCACCGACATTCAAACAGTACAAATTGAATATGTTCAATCGGAAAATAACGTGTCGAATTTATTTACAAAGCGAATTACAAAATTGAAATTAGGGGCTTTCATTCTTGTCATTTTGGTACTGATCTTACTAGTCCTGGGCAAGACGTAAAACTGCATCCATTAAGTCTCTCTAAGGTCCTTATTAGTCCTTATATATAAGCTGGGGTTAACATGGAGATTCAACATTCAACAGTTTGTTGCACAGTTGAACATAATCTTCAGACCTTGCTTGGTGTGGACCTTTGTGTTCCACAAGTGATGCACACGACACATACTCACAGGTTCTGGGTATGTCGATAAAGTACATCTGATCGAGAGATTGAAGGTTTTTTAGAAGCGTGGAATCACCTCTTATTTGCTATTGTTCCCAGGTCCGCTCTGATCCGGGGTGGTAGCACCTGTTAGGGTTACAGCTGTGGGTAAATAGTGAATCTCCAAACAAAAACAAAACACTAAATATACATTTTTATAGTAAATTTACCAGCAATGCATTTTTATATAAAAGATTACCGACAGAATCTATTTATATCAAATTTACCAACACTATATCAATCAACATGAAATAACTCTTTCATGGCATGGATCCATGTAATATCTGATAATTTATTGTGTTCCAGAATATAACTTCAATAAATCTCCAACATAAAATACATATTATCGCCTCTAGTAATTATGTCTACACAAATTTATCTATGCAGGATATGTATGTGTGTTCCTGTGTCTGTGTGTGTGTGTGTGTGTGTGTGTGTGTGTGTGTGTAACGAATGCACGGCCACAATTTTCGATGGATTTGCACCAAAATTTACATGCACATGCTCCAAGTTAGTGGAAATGCCAAGACCGACATTGCATTTCCCAACTCCCATCGATAGTGGAAATAATCGATTTTTTTCATGCTTCGACGGCAGTTTTCATGTAGTTTGCGGCCATTTTGTACTGGCCAGAGTGAGAGCCTATAGCTGGCTGCCACGAATAGGCAGGAAGATTCTATTGGCCAGCGTGAGAGCCAACAGCTGACTGACACGAATGTTAACTAGCATGCTTGCATGCAAAAAAAAATCGATAGCTGCATTCGTCACAAGTGGGAAAAATTTAAATCTGCATGGCACTTTACTCCAATTGACTCATTCGCTTGCTTAAACTAAAAGTTGATTCTGATTCCGCAGAACTGGGTTGGGTGTGAAAAAGTATTTGTTGTTAACATTCTTTTTTCATTCAGTTTTTCCAGTTACGAGTCCTTTTTTAAAGCTGATCGTTTTGTGTTCATTTTGTTTAGTTTTTTTTTCGTAACAGATTTAATGTTTAGTATAGAACTTAGAAAAAATTCGCAGTGTGAGATAGGCAAGAAGTAAGGCATGTAGTAACATCAGCACTGCAAAGGGCACTCCTTTAAAGGCAAGGAAGGGCAAAAATATTTTATGTCAAGTGATAAGGATTGCTGTATGAGACGTACGATTTTTGAATCAAGCACGGGCAACGCCGGGCCATGCTGCTAGTATATATATATATATATATATATATATATATATATATATATATATATATATATATGCAAAAAAACTATTATCTACCATGTACTCAACTGTGAAAGCAGAATAACATATCTTTATTATTTCAGATCCCCTAAGAAAATTAAATTTTGGCATTAAATGATCCATAAGGAGTTGATATGCAGTTAAACAAAAAGAAAAAAATCAATTCAATAACAACAACGCACACAAACAGAGACACAAACACATACACACACTCAAGCACACACACAAACCTAAAATCAGTATTATTGCACAAAAGTTAAAAAAAAATGACCTTAAATATTTATTAAAATTCATGCAAAATATAGCCATTCTTATCTTTGATTTGGGGCGCTATTCGAAACTTTTTAACTACATAGAAAAAGAAGAATGAGCCTGAGGAAAAGGATGGCGGAACAAGGTTTAGGAGAAATAACAAAAAGACAACATTTATTAAGAGCAACAAAGGACAGGAAATAGTGGAGAGCCATGATCGCATACATCTTAAAGTGACACGGCACATAAAGAAGAGGTTGACCTAACCTAAAATATCTTTTGATAGATATCCGGGTTTTAAATATTTGAAATTGATTCGAATAAATTCAAAATTGATATTTATTCACATGGGCAATACTGTAAACACATTCAACAGCTTTTTTAAAATTAATTTTCCGTTTTCAGGCGTTTTCCAGAGAGTTTTTCCATTTTTTAAATATTTTGAAAATGTGAAAATGTCTCCAGTTAAAACTCTTGTCACCAAATAGAGCAAAGAGTGTGTGCGACACACTTCGCTTTCTCACGCGTCCAGCGAGCGAGCTGCGCATGCGTGGCCAGCTAACGATGTCCGCGACAAAGCTGCAGTAGTCATTCAAGTTTTCATACGACTTGCAGCTTTTGTTATTCGACAAATGGAGTTGCTGAAAGAAACATCATGTGGACAATGTGACATCGTTCAGCGTAGCTTCGGTTGGTTGAGAAAAAGCTCAACACACGTGAACACACACACACACACACACACACGCACACACACACGCACACACGCACAAACATATTCCCTCTCTCATTCCCAAGCACGCCTACACGCATATACTCCGACACACAGATGCATATACAATCCTCAACAGACACACATGCACCCCAGAACGCGCACCTCCCACAGCACATACACAAACCCACTAAACACATCACAACACCTACGCACACCACAATACATCGACACCAACTCGCACACACGCGCACCCCAAACACGCATACACACCACAATATAAATATACCTACACGTGCAGAGAAAAATACACAAGCAACACCATCACTCGAACGCACACAATCTCACACACACACTCCCCCAACCACAAGCACACAGAGACACGCAATCAAACAATCACGTACACACATACGCACACTGCAACACGCATACGCAACAAAGCATACACAATAACATGTAAACACAAACACATATACGACAACATGTACATACACACAATTATACGCATACACGCACATACAACAGATCACGGTACGCACACGACAAAACACACTACAATTCACATACACACACATACATAAAACAACACACACAGATACAGAATACACACCCAGCATACACACACGCGCGCGCAAATAGATTCATACCGCTCGCAAATGAAAAAAAAAATCATCCAACCATCTGGCATATAGTGACCCTCGTCTTTCATTTAATAAAGTGTCCAGTTTAATTTTGTTGTCTTTTCAGGAAATTAATTACCAGAAAAGATTACTTACTCTACCACTTGCCGATGCATTCAAAGACAAACTCAGATTGAAATAGTGGAAGGGGTGAAAGGGAACAGAAAGTTTTTTTTTTTTTTTTAGAAAACAATAAATTAAAAAAAATAAAATAACAGGTAAGGTGTTACAAAAGCTATTATGTTTGACTACACAAAAGACGCACATTCAAGAAATATAGTTTGTACTGTATTCAAACATGCAGTTAAAGCAGTCAGAAAATGCGACACTGAAGTCCAAACTTGTATTGGGATAGCAAAAGATGCCTTCCAAAAGCTAAGCAAAGTATTAAAAAACAGGAAAATTTCAATGGAATTAAAAGCAAAATGTACTGAGTTATGTAATATCGGTCCTCCTATATGGCTTGTGAATGATGGACTATCTCATCACAGATGAAAAAGAGACTTGAGGCAACAGAAATGTGGTTCTACAGAAGGATGCTGAGAATACCATAAACACGTGAGAAACGACAAAGAAAACGGAAACATAAAATATTCTTATACTTAACATCAGAAAAAGACAGTTTAAATTTCTGAAGCATATAATGAGGAAAGAGGACTTGGAAAAATTGATACTCACAGGACATACTGAAAGCAAGATGAAAACAGCGTATAACATACCGAAGGAAAGTTGCGAAAACAGTTCACAGAACAGGGTTTAGGCGAGATAGCAAAAAGG